GCTTCTTGCTGCAAATAGCCAACTCCCAATTAATATGAAGAAGTTTGGACTAGATTAAGTAATGTAACTACTACAAGAGTTCTATGAGTCACATGCTTCTTCCTTCATTACAACCCCAAAATAAGTTCCACAGTAACATCTGATTTTTTCTCTCGAAAGTTTGAATAGATTGTATAGATTGTAAAGATTTGTCCCCATGGTCATAGGTTCGCATCATCAGATGATTGCAATCTATGACTTTCCCTGCTTGCTTCTCACCAGCAAAATTAATGGGGTAGTCAGCAGGAAGTAGGAAGCCAGTCACATGAGATCTTTGCTAAATGGCCTACGATGATTTATTTAACAATGATGACTGGAGAGTACAGGAACTGCCATCCCTAAGTAGTGCAATCAAATGACATTGCATTTTCTGGTCGCAATTACCATCATTAAGTGAGGACTACCTTTAACTTGAACAATCTAGAACTAATGATGGACCAGAAATAATTGGTAAATACGAAGTTTTTCATCTCAAAGTCCTTGAGAGATAGAAGTTTGGCAGAATCACGTATTAATTTCAGTTGATTGCTGTATCAATATTGTTCACAAATTCTACAATCCCTGAAAACCATCCACATTTTTGTTGTCTACCTACCCTGCCTATCTCTGCAGTGATATCAATCACTTTTCACACTGCTGAAATTTGATCTCCAGAAGCAACAAAATAGATGTGTTATGGATTTCCAGGATTTAACACATCTATTTTGCATTTTAAGATGCCCTACAACATCACAAGAAGCAAAACACATTACCAGACCTCTAGAAGACAATATATATGTTTAAAACAAAGTATGGCCTTCAGATGAGACTTGCCATTCCTTGATATAAATGATGGTGCACAACGCTCCCTTTGAATTTTATTACACAGCAGCTTTAGCTCCAGGTAATCCGCATACATGAAAATAGCTTCCTTGTACAAAATCTGTAAATTCACCTCAAAGATGGAAAGATATTTGTCTTGTTTTCAATTGCATAGTGACACACTCATTGGAAGAATGTCACCACAGCAGCCTTTCTTTATTATATACTCACTGTAGTAGCAAGAAAAATAGATTTGATGAAGCAGAAAGGAAAACCAATTCAAAAGCAAATAAAAAAGAACCTTGCATCTATATATGAAAAGAGTGAAGTCAGTAAGAGCTATGTAATTTATTTTGAGTAATTATTCTAGTTTTAAAATCCAGGTAATTTTTCTTCCTGTTAGAAAGCCTGGAGGCAAAAAACCTTTTGAAATATTGGAGAGGGTAAAATTTAAAAATTAGCTACTGAGCATGAAGTATGCAATAATTGCTCTTCATAACATTTTTATTGCCTCTATATTCTGTGAATTATTGCTCCAAATTCCTCTGTACCATTATGATGAAAAAATGGTATCAATAAAATTGGGTTGATTTATGTTAAGATTTTATCACTTAAGCCCATGAAAATCAGAGGCATGCTAAAGGGAGCCATTTTTTTCATGATATTTCTTTTTCCTTTTTTTCATTCAGAGCAGTAACAACAGTTCCACTCTTCATTTCCTGATGCACTGGTAGGTATCCACCCATACTAACCATTCACACAATCGTGGGCTCAGGCTTTTAGGCAAAACTGTAACTATGACACTAGGATGTCATGCACTAGTTTTCAACTTTTTCTGATTAAAGCAGTTTGGAGAGGAGATAAATGGAGCTACTTCTGAAATATATTGCCCTCTTTTCTTCCATCTGTTCTTCGATGCAACTATGGGATTTTTCTTACGATGGAGAATACTATATGTAAATTAGTATAGATAAAACTAAACAAGGGATTAGTTAAACTGGTAGATATGAGCAAAGCCCACAATATTACAATGTTTTATTTTATTCAGCCCCTGGCTTAGTATGCAGTTTGCTTGCACCACGGCATTTTTACCACTTATATTATGTTTATCATCACTTTGTTATCTGTTTTGTTCATCTGCCTGTTTTATGTAAATCGGCAATATCAAAGTATGTTATCTTGGCTTCTATCAAAAGGGACTAGAAGTGGTAGTTTGTACTTTGCAGAACATTTTATCGTATACAGGGTGTCAAACTCGCAATATCTGAAACCTAGATTACATATTTTATGAAGCTGCAGTCACATAGCATAGTAAGACAATAGCGGTAATCACTACAAATGTCTTAATTTCTATTTCAGAACTGAATTAGGTTGGACATTTTTTAAAGACTAAGCATGTCAGCCAGATCAGAGTACCATTGTTTTTCCTAAATTTAAATTGGGATTCATTCTAAAATTAAATTCTGACATCCAGAGACTGTTTCACTTGAATTGGAGAACAATCCAAATGCTAGCTATCCAGCTGCATGCTACTATCCTACAAGTGGGATTTCCTTTATTTATTGAAAACCTAAAACTATTTTTTCTATGTAAAATAATTCATAAACACAACTGAGCTATATTCTGTTCCTTTTTAAAATAATTTAACAAAAACTGTCCAGAAATTTTTTCCAGAGATACTCATTCATCTGATAAAATAATGAAAAGAAAACCTTTCTTGTGCTACTTATATCCCTTTCCCCCAATCTCCATAGCAATATAATATGCATTAGGCAATGAATATTACAAATTATAGCAAAGGTTAACTATAAAGAATTAGAATATTTCTCCAACAAAATGTCTTTCCTCCAAAGAAAAGAAATAATCATCCAGAATATATGAGGTCCTTTTCCTTCACATCTTAGACTAGTGCTGATATAATTTTATCAAATCTTATCCTTGATCTGTTAATAAAAGAATTCATAATATTTATGATTTTATTTTGATGGATGTGAAAAGGCATTTACAGAAAGCTTCTACCTTGTGACAAAAGTAAAATGGGGTACCCCAAGGATACTTTTCCCAAAGGCAACTGACTTTCTTGATTTGGAAAAGCACCTTTGGGACAACCATGATGTGGATGACCGAGAACCTCCATACACATTTAAAATGGATTACTTTAATACCCAAGCCTAACTTTTCAAAAACTTAATTTTAAAATAGAATTACAGTCTAATACAATTGGGTTATGCATAAATAAATGACAGGTCATAGCTTGTGCTAATTCAACACTTGTTTAATCATGGTTTAACAGATGATCCCTAATGGCTGTTTGCATAACACACAGTCAAAATCAAGGAGATTTTGATACCTTAGCAGTCAGCCTTTCTATAGGATCATGAGATTTGTTTAGAGCAAGTGTATCCAAACTTTTGGTTTGCCTGGGCTACACCGAGTAAAGAGGAATTGTCTTGGGCCACAAATAAAATATATAATATAGTTAATGTATGAAAATGCACATTAGAAGTTTACAATCTTGCAGAGCCATATTACTAGCTAACCAGGACTGCATGTGGCCCATGGGCTGAGGGATGGACATTCCTTCCTAATTCTGCAGGTATTTCAATTTCAAATGCCGTATTGCAAGCATGACACCCTTAACTGGTACTTTGTTTAAAAAATCACCATCAACTACAATCTATTTAATTCTTATTTTCAAAAATATTCTTAAGATAATTTAATCAAGTTAACTCAGCTACCAGTGCATATGAACTGTTCGGTTCAAAAAAAATAGGCATAAAGGTAAAGTGGGTTTTTCTAATCTTTCAATTTTTTTCATTTGCCAGGATTGTCAAATTGTTATTCAACAGAGAGGCACCAGGCCAGAAAGCGGGAGACCGTGAGTTCAAGTCCTACCTCACCCAAAAAGCCAGCTGGGTGATCTTGGGCTAATTTTAACTCTCTCTCAACCCAACCCACCTCACAAGGTTGTTATGGGAAAATAAGAGGAAGGTATGTCAGTTATGTTTACCAGCTTGAGTTATTTGAAAAAATAAAGGTGGCATATAAATAAATATAATTATAATTATACCTAAGAGCTGACATAAATATGCATGCTTTCAGCAATGTGGAGATGGAATAATAATGCAATTTTTAAGCTTAAAATTAGTACATAAATAGAAAAATCTTAATTAAAGAAAAAAACTATATAAAGAACTAGTAAGCTTAATATTTAGCACCTAAAAGATAATATCCAAAGGTATTGCTCTAAGTCCAAAGTTGGTGCTATTTCAATAATATTTAGAATCATATAGAACTGTGATTAAAAGGAACAATGCAAAAAAAAAAATAGTTCATGCATTATTTTCCCCTTACTCCTGTTTTCTTTTAAAGATGTGATATAGAATTATTATGGTTTAGCCTCACAGAATCGTATGTTCATACCAAATTCTGAAGGAAAATGGCAACAAATCTATTTCAACAAACAGAAGCTTTATATACACTTTAAAACAGCATGACTATTTCATAGAAAACTAAGTTATTCCATTTTCTTGTTATGCTACATTATGCCTTCTCCAAAGAAACGTAAGTATCAAATGAGTATACGGTCTCCAGGGTTAACTTAACATGCACGCTATACAGAACCACAACTGAAACACAGTATTTTGTAACTAAAACTGTCTGAACTCACAATAGTGACACTGGTCATAATCTGAATCACAGATGATCTGAACATTCACATTGATTTTAACAGAAGCCACATTAAATTAACCAAAGAAAAGTTTCCAAGAAAATTGTAAGAAATATAAGGTTCTTTAAATATAAAAAGATAAGAAGTCCCATGTTCAATAGAGTTTCCTACTAAAAATGCTGTTTTCAAAATGACTACATGAACTATATTCCATTGAGCTTTATTGTATCCTACAAAAGAACCCTCATACTTTTGTAAGAACAGCAGTAGAGCTGAGACTTAACAAAATGAGTTGCTATGGACTAACAGTCAGTTTTCTTGCTGTAACTAGAAAATGTAATGCTAAGTTACAATTAAATGAGCATTGCAAGTTTAAGCAGACAAGTAGTTTTGTGGTATTGTTTAAAAATATCCCAGTATTTTATAATACAATTCGCACTAAAAGTCAATTTCACCCATCAGCATGAACACACAAAATCAAGACAACCACTACCAGAGTAAAACACTAACGCTTTATTAAAAATTCAAAATTTATTGCAAATTATATTTTGCTTCTCTCCTTTCCTCATTTTTACATGATTTATTGATATCCATGATTTTTTCACAAATATACTTGTTGACTTTGGAGAGTCTCTGTGCAATTTCTGTTTCATCCAGGGTTTCTTGTGCTATTCTGTCATACAAACATTCTAAAAAAGAAAGAAAGAAAGAAAGAAAGAAAGAAAACATGACATTAAGAATGAAACTTCAACACACTTAAAATACAGCAAAAACTCTTCAGCAAGGCATATGTCACGCACAGGATGAATGCAGCAACTCGATGTAAACATGAACCTGCATACAGCACCAATCTGAAAACTCGTCTCCGACAACAAATGCTTTCTATGTTCACCTAGGACTGGTAAAGTACATTTACACTAATGTATTTAAGATGTCTTTGATATACGTTCTAGTCATAAGCCATTTACTCTGAAATGGCCATGTCTCTCAATCCAGGGAAAAAAAACAAGCCTGTAATTTAATTTTGAGTAAATATATTTTTGTAAGAGCACTGAAAGGCCCTTAAAAGGCATTCTCTGGCCTTTTTTAAAAACACATCTTATGCTTATTCTCGGCAGACATTTCCACTCAATCAGAGTCATGATAACATGAACAAATGAGAAAGAAAAATCAATGGACCTCCTATCTCAAACGTTGCCATCCATGAAACATACTATCTGTAGATTTCTACCTGTCTCACCACTTTATAAAAATATACTTTTAAAGTACAAATAACAATACTGAGATAGATAGAGTGGAATTCCAAAACAAAAATATGATTTACAGTGTAGCAGTCTGTTTAACAGATAACGTCTAAAAATTCTTTCATTATATGGAAATGCCCTGAGACAAGATAATGTTAGGCAACAGCATCCATGTGAAAAAGTATGTTTTAGGAAATATGGTAAAGTTTGTTCTTTCTTCCAAATTAAATGGTTGTTTATTTGTGACTGTTATAAAGGAGAAGACTATGTAACTTCAGGAACTAAAACAGTTTGACTAACTGACATGAAGCAAATTAATAGTAAACAGTCTGATTTTTGAGACATGGTTTACAAAACTGTCTCATCATTGTAAACTCCTCAGCCCTCAACATACAAGTTACAGTAGTATAAACTATAGTTTATTGTATAAACTATAGTGAAAAGTACAATTACCGTATATGCCGCCGTATTAGGCGACCCGGCGTATAAGACGACCCCCGTCTTTATAGCCGGGCCGCATTCCTAGAACGTCGTCTTATACGCTGGAAACTACCAGTATTTCCGGCGTATAAGACGACTCGGCGTATAAGACGACCCCCGTCTCTGGCGCCGATTTCAGCACTCGCGGAAGTCGTCTTATACGCCGGCATTTACGGTACTACCAGTACTGTTTCCAAAGCAATTAAATAATTTCTGCTGTTCTTAGTATTTTCATTCAGCAACTATTTATTGCTTCATATGGTAAACAAAATAGAGAATCACTTAATTAACGAGTTTTATGGCACTGTTAATGCACATTAAAGTTATAACAATTAACTATTCTACATCCTTTGCATCTTCTCTCACACCTTTCAGAAGTTTTATAAAAGGCTATTTTTCAGTCACAAGATCTGCAATGGTTGCATACCAACACTGTTTAATAACTTTCTCAGAATAAACTACACAATAGGGACTACTAAACAAAAAGACATATTAGACCCATTAAAACCTAACACCATCTTTTTAAGATGTATTTTATGGAACTATTCTAGAATTAAAAGAATAAAAACTATCTCGGCTACAGATTTTTATGAGCAATTTGAAATGTATTAGTATTTTTTAAAATGAGATTTTAAAGATAAAGAGATGACTAAAAGAGTGATTTAAATTTAAACACAGAAAGAGGAATTTGATTAACGCAAAGAAGCACCCATTCCTCTTCAGTACCAAACCAGGGAGCGAGTGAAATCATTATATTTGAAATCTATACATAATTAAAGCATTTTATTTTCACCATGAAATTCCACCATACACCTACTACATTCCAACATATCACATGTATGGGATTTTGTCCAAAGCTTTGTAAGTAAGCATTTCACATGTAATCAAAAATTCCAATTGCATCAGAATTGCAGCATATAAATGATGTCTATGTTGCAGCTTCAGGAACTGCTTTTATTCTAATTTTAAACACAACAGAAAGACAGGGTGATAATTCTCCCTCTGCTTATTCTCTACAGTAGATGTGTATATGTTTTGCTTTTGATACAGTTTTTTTGTGTCTGAAATCCCCTTCATAACAAAATATGAGCCAATTGTGTGGGTGTATCCTGAAATCTTTGTACTATGTGCAATATACATTAGCCTTGTGGGTGGTGATCAAAATTCACCACTAAGGCTAGCCTTCCATATTTGCCAAAAAAACAGGCAACTTGGAAAAGGCTTGATGAACAGGTGCAACAGCGGCTGCATAGTGCTGGTAAGAGTAAAACCTGACCACTACTTGTCTGTTCTTAACCCAGAGGTATCTACACGCAGCAGCAGGTATCAAAAAAAGGCAAGAGGCTAGAAGAGAAGTTGCAGTGCAAACCCTGACCTTTATGCATGTGAGAAAGGGTGAAAGCTTGCATCACAATGCCACTCCATAAAACTTGGCTTCTTTAAAAAGCCTCTTGCTCAAAACTGCAGATACTGCTGTCTGCACCTGCTGGCAAACTTTTCCGGAGATAGCATGGTCGAACGAGAATATTACTATCCTGAGGAAAGTAAGGTTAGAAAAGGTCTATGCTTTTTTGCATACCTGCTTGCTCTTTTAGTAGGGCTATGTGAAACTCTGGAACCAATGACTGACTCATCCTTTCAAAGCAGTATGATTCCAAGCAGGGAACTGCATGGTTCCCGTCTTTCAAAGCACTTTGAAGATTCCATGACTTTTTTTGCTGCTTCTAGGATGTTTACAGACACTAAACCACAACAACTTTATATATAAAGAATACAGGGGCTAGGAGTGGTGATAAGCCGAATAGCTGGCAGCTGAGTTTCATCACCTTATTACAGTCTATCAGATTTGTTTTGGGAGAGACATTATATTGTCCTTACATTTTGGTTCAATGTGTCTTTTCTGATAGGCTGTTTGCTCTTATTAAATTTAGGGGGGATTTTCCCCAAATCCCTATTAAATTAAAATATTCATTCCTGTCACTTTTAATTCTCCCCATTCTCATGTCCCAAGAGCCCTTACCCACATTCTTTTGTTGTCTTCTATTTCCTTTATCATGTGTGGAAAGAAGAATGTGGAGTCGTTGGTGCTCTCTGACTTTGGCTGTTTGCTGATAGATGTTTCATTATCTGACTAGATAACAACATGAGCGCTAATGAGCAAGGGGTTTGCTCCCTTTTTATATACAGTAGCTTACACTGCCAGTGTGTCTATATGGGGAGGTTATGGGTTACCATGAGTTTCTTCCATAGTAGCTGCTTGATTATGGTACTGTTTTATGCTTGCTTGTCTGCTGTTAATGTCTGCTTATCTGAGTGTAGACTGCTGGGGAGGATATGTTTTGGTCTTTTTCCTTTTTAGTTTTTTTATTGTCTTTTTTTAATAGTATATAAATGTGGTTTATCTCTATGTGCCTATTGATGGCTGAATTCCTTAGCAATACCCTAAGGCAGGAATGTCAAACTCGCCGACAATAGGGTGAGCACGGTCTCACTATGATATATCTGGCCCGCAGGCCGGCAGTTTGACACCCCTGCCCTAAGGTCAAAGATATCTAGCAGCTGAACAAAATATCAATGGCACTAGAAGTGGAGGTCATAAGGAACGCATACATGATTTTGATGGGAGAATGTTAGGATACGACAACAGGCCAATGTTGGCATTTCTGTAACAAATAAATGATTGATGAGTCTTGCCTAACAACAGATAGGATTTGATTAACAAAGGTAACTGGGACAGCCAGGATTTGCCATTGCTAAGCCCTGTGTTCACATGATGCTGTGCTTTACAACTGTAACACTTAGCAATGGAAATGGTCCCAACTGAAGTCATAAGTCAAATATTACTTGTAGCTCCCTTCCTAAGATATATACATAGGATTGTGTAAGCTGTTAATCACTTCAGCAGCTGTATTAGAAAACAAGATTCCTTCAATCATTACTTAATGTACAGTAGTTTGAAGAACACTCACATAATCAAAATAACCTACCTCTGACAATGCTTAATTTGTGAGGTGACAGAGGTGGCTTAGGAACAGCATCTTTTTTTTTCTTAGTGGCCACACCCGTAACACTTCTATTTTTAAGAACATCGGTTCCCCAAATCATAACTGCTAAGTTTTTTGTATACTTTGAATCTCCTTGTGTTACTTGCAACTGATGCCATTTCTCCTCATCTACCCAGATGCCACTTCCAAGATGAACCTGGAGTAGAAAGTGAAATAAAAGATGGTGGTTACCTGAACAGTTTGTTTCATCCTTCATAAATAGCAGGAACAATGTTTAACACTAAACACACTTATCTATAGTATCCAATGACTGAAAAAGTATGAAATATTAAAAACAGTTTGATTGTCTAAACTATGTGCAAAATCATGAAATGGTATGAAATGAAAACCCACAGAGAGCAAGTTATAAATGGTTTTTATCTCCATAAAGGTTCTCCTGTATTGAAAAGAATGTTTCTTCCCTTTATGTTCTGCTTAGAGAAGAATGTTTTTTCACAACCATAGCATATAATCAAAAGCACAACCTTGTGGGGTTTTTTTTGGTAAACAAATGCAAAAACCTCAGGAAACGTCCCTAAAGTATTCACTTGACATTTCTGTCATGAACTGATAAAAATGCTTTGGAGTTTATATGCCTGTTATGAGATTCACTTAAATTTTATTAATGAATATAGAAAGGCAGGCAGGCAACCACCACCAATGAAGCATTCTCAGTTGAATATTTCTGTCTTTTCCTTATCCATCCCCACCAAGGCTGTTACCATCAAGTGCCCAAGTGAAAAAGATTCCTGAAGGGAGAAAGGAAAGACTAACCACAATTGCCTCAAATGACTGCTCAGATGGATTTTTATTTATATTTTTATTTCTGCTTAGAGGAATGCCTTTCTCTCTATTTAAAAGCTATATTTTATATATTAACATGTATTTATTTTGCTGGTAAGTATTTCTTGTTAGTTATTTTTAAAGGAAGAAAGAATGTAAATATTTGCAATGAATATAATATTAATACCTTTCCATTCTCAAGAATATATTTGTCCATTACAGGAATAGCAGCTGGGTAGTACGTTGAAGTGTTTGCTTCCTCACTGAAAGCTGTCTGTACATCAGGCTCAGGTTCAATGGATTCAGGTGTAACCTTTTCAAGTTCTAGGACAGGACCTATATCATTTAAAAAAGAGGAACAAATCACCAGGCTTTAATTTAATGTAGGATGTATTAATTCTGTAGCCTATTTCATGTACAGAGCTTCAAACTGATTAATGCTGATCTAACCAAAAATCCAAAGTCAGTATCGCAGTAAAATATATTACCCCTTTTTTCTCCAGTTTCAAATTTTTGGTAAATTAGGTTTATTAATTTATCAAAATATAAAATAAAAAAAATACAAAGAAAATGGAAAATAATGGTAAAATGAGGAGGAAAAGGGGAAGAGAAAAAAGTGTAGGATGGAGGGGAAAAAGAAAAAAGAACGTTGACTTCTGGCTCCTTTTAGTGCAGTAAAATAAGGTATTCACATAAAACCTCAACGTTTTACTTTTACATAATAATATACTACCCATTTCTATGACAACAAACCTATCTAATTAGCAAAACTCAAAATCAAAGTTTCAATTTTTTCCACCTTAAGCCCTTTTTATCCCTCAAAGGATCATATTTTAATAAAATTTTCAAAAAATGAACATAAATATGAGCAAATGGAATGTGAGATTCAAAGCAATTCAGCACTTGTTCTTAAACCCAAACCGAGCTACACAATTTTAACTGTTTTAGATGTATTTTTTCATCATCAGTGAAAGAAATGATAGTTGTATTATGACAAGTTACATATTGTTACACAACCAACTTTTTAGTTAAGTGTTTTAAAATTAAAAGGACAGAAACAACAGCTGGAAAAAACTGTCAACATCCAAAGACAAGCTCAATTATTTTCATGTGATTAAAGAAGGTTTGGACTTGGTTAATAAGTAGAGATATACAAACATTCAAATTGAAGATTCAACATATTGACAATTGAATTTCCAAACCAAATCAACTTTTTGAATTGTTGACTCAATTGCAGATATCTTCAATGTATTTAGATCAGGGGTGTCAAACTCGCAATGTCACGTGACTTGTCACGACGTATCGCGACTTTTTTGCCATTGCCAGCAATGAGGTGGGCGCAGTTTTGCCATGATGCATCCAGCTCACCGGCCGGCAGTTTGACACCCCTGACTGAGATATTTTTATGGGCTTTTGTGCATGGATTCAAACCTTTTCTCTAAACTGATGATTTGATTAGCAGAGGCCAATTCAAAAGTAACTTGCTTCTTATTCACACTAGTTCACAGGGTTCACACTGGTTTTTACTAGGTTGGGATAGTAGTCAATTTCATAATTGCAAAACCTGAAAAAAGATTGTCCATCCTAAAAACAGATAGGATTTATTAAAGCATGAATATCACCTTTAACTACATATATATCTTGCCACAATGAAAAATATAAGCCAAAAAGTCAAATAAAATTGATGTGAGCGGAAAATGTAAAGATTAAATATAAATGTATCTTTAATGAAATTTTCTATTGCTTGTTGATATGTTGATATACATATGGAATTACAAATCTTTTAAAACAACATAGTTAATAATTCAGTAATTAAGAGAACCACTGCAAAAACATGAGGTCCTAACAGATAGAAGCATGTGGCCCAATATCTTGTAATACATTTTATTCCAAAGCTCAAAATATTTCACATTTCAATAATCAAAGCCTTTTCTAGGCAGCTCAGCTTCACAGTAATTTCAGAAACTACTAAGAGTTGCATTTACAGCACAGCATGTTCAAATTAGACATGCAATTCCTTTTACTGTCTTTTTGCTAATTAGAGTTGCTTGCCTAATTTGGCATGCATCATGCTTACTTTTTAAAAGTTTCTCACTTTGTAGTTTTTGCACTTTGATAAGCAAAACAGAAAATGTGCAGTTACGGAAGTTTTCTGAAAGTCAACACAAAATGTGTTTTCTTAGCACAGCAAATGCAGATGAAGGAAAACTCTTGTTTCAGTGAAAAGTTTTATTATTCTCTGAAGTGAGGCTCCTGGCATATGAATTAGACAAGAAATATAAAATTTCCCTTATAGTTCAGCATCTCCAGATTTCTTTCATGTCAAAAGAAACTTGTTGATTTAATTAGATGAAAAGCCTATCTAGTCCAGCATCCTTCGCCCAACAGTAACTGATGAAATACCTATAGAAAGACACCCCCTCCCCCAACATACAAACATACACTTTTTTCCCCCCTTTCACCTTTTCTAGTATTTGATTCTGAAGCAGACTAGCTTGATGTTATTTTCTAACTGTCTCAATCTTGGCAACTTGAAGATGTGTTGACTTCCCAGAATTCCCTAACCAAGCATGGATTATACCATGCACTGAAGAGATCTCCTTATGGTAATTCTGTGCAGCTTTGAACCATGCGTAAACTTTCTTAAAGAAAAGGAAGCCGACCTGGAAGGCATTTTGTCTGCCTATAATCCTAGAGCTGGTATTTCAAGTCATACTGCCATAGTATTTTAGGTGATAGAGACCCTATCAGGATTCATAAATAGTAATTCTCTTGCCTTCCTTAAGAAAAGCCTTTGCCATTTCAAAACACTCAGACTGGGAATTTTAAGATATGCAGCAAGGTAATTTTTAAATGCCATATTTAAATCATGAGTAACAATAAGCTAAACTTTAGTGAATCAAGATGGCGAATTCCAGTAGGCACTACAATCTATTGATTTCAATATAATTTACATTTACCTTTAGGCACAATTCAGAGGAAAAGCATATGAACATACTTAGTATATATAAATTTATCCCATGCACAGTCTCCTTCAACTCATCCTGAAAACTCAGAACATATTAGCTAATAAATTCTGTGAAGAAAACGTAGCCTGCATACACTGGAATTAGCAGCTCTTAGAAAACAAGCAACTCTAATTTTTGACCCTTTAATTCATTAGAATTTGCATCATGGCTTCAAAAAAATAGAAGAAAAGTACTGTAATTTGCACAAGAATACCATTTCTCTTTGGTTAATCAATTCTGAGAAATTTATTCATGGTATTCCTCAATTAAAGTTCTCTGTATTATTTTATCTATAAATTATATGATTTTGAATTCCATGTATGATTAGTCCATGTTATCATTTTTAAAAGATTAAAAAAGGCAAACCAAAAGGTGGAACTTTCTAATGGGCCTAACATAATTACCCCCCCTTCCCCCAAAAGTAGGATACTGAGTGTATGTTCAAACTAGAAAACTATTAAACCACAATACATAACTTAAAAGACAAGGACTGTGCCAGATAAAACTATTTATATTCCAAATAAATGGAAAAAGTAAGAGATAGTTTAATTAAGGGAAAATAAACTCCAACTATGTATGGATTGTGTGCTAAAAGTCATATATAAAGTGCAGATGTATCTTGCCCCACTGGATTCGTATTATCCTACAATATGCTAAAAACATGCCCATCTTTGATACTGAAACATTCTTCTCCATGCCCAAAACAATTTAGGTTAATATTTAGTCTAAGTTAGTGTTTTAGCATGAATGTTGATTTAGGTAAAAGTAATTATAGTATTTTGAATTATTTTAACTATATTTGAGGGACTTGTATGTCTACTTATCTCAGAGAACTGGCATGTTATGCATCCTGTTTACTAAGGAATGTCAACCAATGGGATCCAGAAAGAGAGCTGTTTCTGCTGTGATGCTCACCTTTTGGAAGTTTCAAAGTGCTTTTTCAAGAGGCAAATGGACTTTGCCAATTGAAGACATTTCGCTTCTCATCCAAGAAGCTTCTTTGGAACCTCATTTCTCTGGAACTTATTACTACTATTATTACTCTTCTGGCGTTTAAGAAGGGCCTTAAGAATTGGCTCTGCCATCTTGCCTGAAGACTGGATAGTGGTGGTCTGGATTTTGGTGCATCCATACACATAATATACATGCGTGCACATATTTGTATATATGGGAAATATCCATAATTTAAAAAGTATTTTATGAAACCACAAGAGGGAGCAGTAGCAAGATGATATCCCTATTTTGCAGTAGTCTCTTTCCCATTGGGACAGAACAGAAAAGACTTGTTCTTGTAATAATCCAGTGGCTACTCTATTATATTCCTGTAATACTATCTGACACAGTGGAATTAGCTAGAGAACATTACAAGAGTATGATGCAGACTTTCTACCTCATTCTAATAGACTTTTTGTACCTATTGTGTTTTACGCGACTGTAGCTAGTGCAACTTGAACAGTTGGTAGCCATACAATTCTTAAATGAATAAATATCTGTAACAAGAAAGTGATGAACACTGTCCTAATATTTTAGTTCCCATGCTTAGTCCAGTTAACCTGAAATGTGGAAACAACTTAAAAATTCTTAACAGGTCAGTATCAATTTAGCATAACTTCCTTCCTCTATTCCTGCCTTTCCAACAATGGCACAACTATGCCATATTCTTCCACACAATACTAGAGAATTTCTATGCCCCAAAGGGACAAATAAAAAGAATAAATAGAATAAATAAATAGATCCAACTAGAAATTATGCCATCGTGTTTGGACAGCAGACTCAAACATGTGATTTTTATATTTCTCTGTGGGGCAGAAAAATCAGATGCTAAAAAGTTTTCTCTCAGTATTCTAAAACAACTAACCCCCGAAAATCACATGAGTAAGATCTGAATCATGAATAACTGATAGAAGAATATGGCAAATGAATGCACATATGCAATCTGCACAAAATTCATATGGAAGTACAAGTTTTAGAGTTCCATTAAAAAGACAATATAAAATAAATGGCTCCATGCCAGGTTACAATGTATTGGCTCAGGAAAAAACAATTATTTCCTAACAGATTAGTTTAGAAATAATAGTTTCTCACTCAGTCTCTAGAAATAAGTTATTTACTCAATTGGCCCAATACCGTGTTTGCCCAAAAATAAGACCCACCCCGAAAATAAGCCCTAGTCTGATTTTTGGTGTGGGCCTAATATAAGCCCTACCCCAAAAATAAGCCGGGGGGGATGGGCACAAGAGGCGGTGAGCACACAGGCGCCAACTGTATCTAGTAGCAACCGTAGCCCACCGGCTCCTTAGCATAGCACAGAGGCAGGGGGAGGCAGGCAATCAGGACATGCTACGTGGCCGCCTGGCTCTGTGGCGAGGGCAGAGATACACCAAAATTCAGACCATCTCTTAGGAAAAATCCTGGTGTGAAATCAGAGAGCCATTACTATTCAATGTTGAGCTTTGGACTCAAAGGACCAATCACATGTCTCCACTTAAATAACTTTCCTTAGTTCCTGCATTCCACAAAAAGTGAGTACTTCTTTGTGTTCTCTCCTCTGGCTGGATCAAGGATCCCTCCTCTTTCTTTTTTATTTCATTTCTTGCCTGTGAAAGTTTTATCACTCAGGAAGACAAATATGTCAATAGCAAAGAGGCACAAAAAGAAATATATCCTTTTCTTCCATTTCCACTTCCATAGCACTTTACAGTCTAGTAAAGTAAAGAAGGAGTAAATAAAAATCAGCTTCCTCAGCCTTTTTTTCCTCCCTACCTTTAAGAACTGAGTTTTTCTAACTCAGAAAAGTAAAGAAAGGAATAAGGTAAGGATAAGTAAGAGTAAATAGTCTTCACGAACAATGACTACCCACACTGTAGAAACAACCAATTAAATTTGCCATCAGGATATTGTAATGGAACTTTGCTTTCCTATTTTCAATTTCTATTCAAAGGCACTTGTTAGGATTATCAGCACAACTACAACACAGAAAGCTCAAAACATTATTTACACGTAATAATGCAATAAAGTACTAAATCCACATTTTGGAAAAATATATACAAATGACTATCTTCCTTGTTAGTCAAGCTATATTAGTAACATATTATGTTCTACCCTTCACTCTAAATTTATTTATTATTTATCAAATTTATTGGTTATCTTACCACAGGGTAACTCTGGGTGGCTATATTGAAAATAAATAATTCTTCTATTGATTATGAAATATAAAGATTCACAATCACAACTATATTGTAAAGAATGATCGAATCTGTAAAAACAATCAAACTCTGCTTTTCAAAGTTAAACTATTAAAATGCATGCCTCTTTACAATCCTTAGAGCAGCTTTTAAGGGAATATAATGAAAAAGTGGCATTTTTCTTACCCAAACTCTGTAGGTAGAAACTTGCTGCAATCATAAAAATACCTTATGGATTCTACCCATAGCTTGATTTTTTTTGTGAATATTTAAATCAACCTGAGCTAAAACAATTCTTGAATACGTCTCACATAATCAAGTACTTACCACTGCCTAATCTGAGGAGGAGGACATCCTGTAGCCGTCTGTTCAAATCTCTTAGCTCCTTCATTTCTGACACTAATGTCCCATACTCCTTTAACTTCTTTGCTTGCTGAACAAGCTGCCTTCTTGTTCTCTCAAGTTCCTGTTGAATGTGCCTCATTTCTTCCTGCTGTTGCTGATAGCTTCTCAGCAACTCTTCATAAAGAACTCGAGGAACTACAGCATCGTCCATATTGTTCATTCTGTCTGAAGTTTCCATAAATGTTGCCTCAGGACTGGAATTACTACTGAGGCTCATTCCATTTTGTTTTTCAAGGCGCGCAACAACTGCTTCAATGCTTTTGTGCGTACCTTCATTCTGTTTCTTTCCATCTTGTCTCTGTATATTACAACAAAACACATTATTAATATACTGTGTCATATAGCAATCTTTAGAGTTCTGCAGTTAATAAAATTACAATTACACTACAATCCTCAAGGGAAGAACATTTAATGAATATTGGACCAACACAGTTTAGTAAAGTTACATTATAAATAACCATCTAAGTATTTTTTAAAAATGTATGATGCACAGTTAGATGCATCTGAAAGGAAATCAACACTCCCAAGTTTTATTTTTTAAAATTTGTATTATCCAAAACCAACTTTTTGGGGGTAGAATTTGAGAAGAGAGGAACAATTCAGACATCACACTGAACTTCAAGAGAGACTCAGTATTCATTACTATAACCACAGGTTATGTCTGAGAAGGCCAAAATGCTTATACAAACTATAGTTCATCACAGTTAACTATTATCTCAGTCTCTCTAAGAGTCAGTGCAGTTAAGATGAATTCCCAACCCAGTCAGACATAGTGCTGAACTGACAGCAAGAAAATCAATTAAACTTTAAGGACATACATGATTGTGTAGCATCTAGTATGCACACAGGCAGCTTTAAGCATTTAAAAGAAGGTAGTGCTTGTTTGCATGAATTCTAAGCACTCTTGACTTTTTTTTTTAGTTTGGACCATTTGTATAGAGTGCATTCAACATTAACCTAAACATTGTTTTAATGATTAAATACTGTGTTGTACAATCCCATCATCTGGAAACTTTAGATTTAGATGACAAATAATTCCAAAATGTGTTAATAATATCCTGGAGAAGACACTGATAGAATGCATTTAAAAGCAATGTTTGTACCTTGCTATTTAAAGGTAATTTCTATACTGATTTCCCTAATTAAGTGGGCATCAAGGCTCAAAATATTTAAGAATTCCACAATAAAAGGAAATTATTAGTGGAAGAAACATGGTATCTATTACTGTGCAATAATCAGCCAAACCTCTAAAAGATATTTCCAAATCAAATTTACCTATTCCTCTTTGCCTCTCAATACTAGTAAAATATGAGACTCCATGTAAGTGTAGATTGCCCCAGCTAAGCACTATACCAAATTGATAAGAAATTCAATGTGTACGTACTTACAATACTTAAGTTTTAAAATAATGACTACATGCTTTATTTGAAAACAGGATTATTTGCCTCAGGGCCATAATTATAGAGGAAACAGCATATATGAAACTAGAATATGTAAAAAATAGCAAAGATAACTCACATTATATAATTACAGTGTAAATTCATTTTAATTTTAAGGAAACTGAGATGTGGATAAATGAACAAAGCTTATCTCAATATAGTGGCATTTCATTATTCAATAATATCTTATTGTATTGTATGTCTTTATATTAAACATATATCTAGAGATATCATTAGTCTGGAGAACTGAATGTATTAACCTTATCAAGCTGTGCTTGTTTTAGAACAGCAGGTAGAGAGAACATCTGACAGGGAAGGCTGTAAGGAACCCATAATGCTTTGGTTTTGCTAAGCCTTCTTTTTTTACTGAGAGTAGCTTAGGAAAAAATGTAATTATGAGATGCATTGGGGAATTCATGCAATACTATACTAATAAAGGCCTCAGTTCCAAGCATGTTAATATACCTGCAATATTCACGCTGAATATGTTGAAGATGGGCAAGTTGAGGAATTTGCAATATTCAATGCAAAACTTTGTCTGGAATAGAGTCAGTCTAGTTTTACAGTATATTTTGTTCTAAAAAGAAAAGATATCCATGATAAAATGATACTAAATAGTAAGTGACAGAACTAATATACACAAAGGGAAAGAATTTGTCAACATATTCACTGTGAAATGTAAAAAAACACATAATTAACATTTTTGTCCATTGTTTAAAACAAAACTGATTATTTCAGAGAATTTTAAAAGATTACATTCTACTGAAGTCAAAGTATCTGTTCAAAAATGCAATTATTATCTGCTTAAAAAAATTATCAAAGAAGACACTCATTCTTTGAGCAATTAAAAAGTCTAACTCTGAAAATAATCACAATCTGACTGAAATAAAAGCAGTAAGTTGTTTTCCATTGCATAATGACATTCTCTGCCAACACTCTTAACAGATCACAATGCAGACTTCTTTGAAAGCAATCCTTTTCATTGGGAATTTCTTCTTGATATAACCTTTCAGTACTTTGATAAATCACTAAAAGACAATTCTTCACTTTTTCCTGTTAGTCTTAAATATTGTGTTGTTGATAATCTTCCAGAAATTGGTGTAAACTCAACTTTTATCATTAAATTATAGGATGTTAATTTTAAAAGCATGAAGATCAAGCTAAGCTTTCAGTAAAATATAATAACTTTGAGTTTTAACATTATTCAATATTATGCTATCAGTATAAAAAAGTAGGAGAAAGATGTACTTAGCTAGCATACTAGAAGTAGTCCTCAACTTGTAACTATTTGTTTAGTGACCCTTAAGTTACAATGGTACTGAAAAAAGTGACTGTTTTCCCAGTTATGACTGTTGTGGCATCCCCAGACACATGATCAAAAATTAAGCTCTTGGCCACTGGCTCATATTTATGATGGTTGCAGTATCCTGGGGTCATGTGATCACTTTCTGTGACCTTTTGACAAACAAAATTAATTGGAAAGCCAGACTCACTTAAATATGTTACTAATTTAGCAATTGTAGTGATTTACTTAACAACTGTGGCAAGAAGAGTCATAAAATGGGGCAAAACTGTCTTGCTTAAAAACAGAAATGTTGGATTCAATTGTGGTTGTAAATCAAGGACTACCTGTATAAATAATCTGAATTTTGTCATGTTCATGTTGTGTCTTTAATGGATATTGTTCCATAGATGATATTCTGCTAAAGATTGTCAATTGAGTTTTATTTTTTTGTACAAAATTACAGAATAATTACATTGATAATTACATTATCTGCCTTTAGATTGGGTACTATTGGAGGACCATTTTCCTTCCCTTCAAACTATCTAAAACTGTCTTGGACAGCTAAAAGGTACTTTTATGGAGGGATACTGAGGTGCAAAAGAAATCTAAGTTTTTCAGCTTCAGTGGAAATCTGCCCACTTGGAAATGAAAACAATCTTCTCCCTCCCCCCAAAACTGGAAAGTTTTGTATATAGCTTGAATCTAGACAAAGAGATGGTGATGAAATGAAAATATGTGCATAAAATAAGAACAGTAACACAATAATAAATATGATTTTTTTATAATTGTAGAGATGATGAATCAGTTATAAATAAGATACAACAAAGTTAATAATTTGGATAATAAAAAATAGTCATAACTGAAGAAAGGATATTTGTTTTGAAAATATAGGTTGTATTAACATGCAGCAACTTCTTAGGCTTACCCAATGAATGAACTGCAGGACAGCTGAGGTTTCTGGTTCAGTTCTGCCTATGCTGACTTTTTACTTCAGTGCCTGATAATCTCAGCAATGAGAAATCCCTGCTCTTGACAATCCACTTAATAAAAGAGAAATTCCACTTTTTAGACAAATCCGGTAGCAAAATTTGGATTATAATTTCGTTTTTACCCCATCATATCAAAATGTAGATAAGTGGTAAAAAAAAAGAAAAAAGAAAATCTATCCCTTATGTAGCAGATCAGGAATATATCCAAAAATATATTCACAAAAGTTCTCATCTAGCATCATTCTCATTAATTTGTGTTTGAAATGTCATTAACACAGGTCTTTACCTCCATACCATGAAAAAATAAAATAGCATGGCTGCTGTTAGATATTCTGATTAGCAAAATGAAAATCCTTCTTTTAGGTATTATTAGCATTTGAAAGAAAAGTTAAATGTGAAGCATCCCTATTCGGTAAAGAGTAAATGAATTACCACTGAAGCTTTCACTAGATTGAACTGCAAATGTCAGTATACTATAGCTACAGAAAACATGAGCTGCTGCTGGTTGGCCTGGGCCTTCGAGGGGGGGGGGGGGAGGCTCACCACTGGAGGTGGCTGACAGAGTAAGAAGACCTCATCTTGTCCTGTTTTTTAGCTCTCCTAGCTCGGTGTTCATACAGTTTTTAACAATATTTTAATGTGTCATTTTAACCTTTTAACTATTTTTACTTGTTTTATAATTTGTAAGTTGTTACCTTGTTGAGGAGATGTGAGGCATAAAAGTTAAATAAACAAAACAAAACAAAACAAATATCCATGGTTCACGGGACAATTTACACCTCCCTGCTGCTTTCAGATACCAACCCTGTCACAACATACAATGTTGGCAGATTCTATGCAACAGTCTTCAAGATTCGTTGAATGATGATCTATGACATGTTCTCTGTAGTTTGATACAGTTTTCTACATATTAACCTTTTGTTTTCCCTTATACTTATCTAATTCTCCAACCCCTTCCTTTAGATTCTTTTAGACTCTTGTTCTTTATATATACTTTGTTATTTTTACATCTCCTAGCTTTTCATAATTGTATTAGGTTCTAAGGATCTTCTATGTTTTTTAACTGACAGAACCAGACACTCCCCTCCCCTCCACAATGCTGGTCTATGACCATTATAAAGATTTGATTTAGAAAATGTGAAAAAAATCTGATGAAAATATAGAATGTTTCAAAGTTGGGTTAATAGATCTATTGATTGCTGAAAAAAAGATTAAAAGCTTAATAAAACTACTAAATAACTTACATGAAATAACTTAGAATATATATTATATATCTATTTTAAAAGTCTAATATGTCAAGGTAATGTTTAACCAGAAATTAAAAATTATTGGACACAGTGATGGTAATCAAGTAGCTTTTCAGAATATTTAGGGTTTTCCCTTAAAAATAGAAACATTTTAAAAAATAAATATAATCCAAATATCACCAATTAATGCTATTTTTGTATTCCTAATGTTACATATGCTGTTTCTCTTTAATGTTGGCATTAAGCTATAATTCAATGAAGACACAAGCAGTCATTATTCTCCATGTAAGTACTATAGATGTGCAGATATTTATTTCCCATCCAACCTCAATGGAATTAGGAAGGAGCATACATAATCCAGGAGCACCAAGTACTAGTATGGCTTAGACAGCTAATGCTTCTCTCCTCAGAAACCCCACTTACCTCAATAGAAACATGGCTGAATATTGCACAGTGCCCAATAGCAGGCTAAATTAGGAAAGCTTTGATGTGTAATATGTAATTGATGAGCCAAAACTCTGCTCTCCACAATTTTATCACATAAGCAAAACCTGGGGGAAAAATCATATGTTATACACATTTTATACTGACTGTCATACTTCTTTTTTGTATGGTGCTTAAAAGATTATTTCATATGTGTTTCCTTGCGGTATCATTGAGCATTTTCATCTTCACATTAGACAAAATGTGTGAATGTTATACTTATATATTTTTAAACAAGATGGGTGCAAAACATTATCTATAGAGTAGGGTTTCTCAAACTATGGGTTGGGATTCTCCAGAGGGATCACAAACAGCTTTGAGGAGGCTCAAACAGGAGCACTCTCAAACTCATTCTGGGCTTTGTCTGCAACAGGCAGCTGAAGTATTAAAAAGTATGAGAACTACTATGATATACACATTAACATTTCATTATTGAAACTAAGTACATGTAAATACATGTATTTCCTGCCCTAAACTTAACTGAATGAAATCTTTATTTTTATTCATACAGGGGTCATATGCATTTATTTATCATTTTAGAGAGTCACAGCACTGTAGTGTCTGAAAACCTTTGCTATAGATATGAAACTTTAAATGTATTCTAATAAGAAAACTGGAAGATATTTTGCAGGGATGTTTTCTTCAAACTCAGTGAATTTTGCTACTAAATCTACTTTAAAGAAAGTTCCTAGATGGTCAGATTAATATCACTCTGTACAAACTATTGTTTAATCGACTATATGTTTTTCATACACACAAGAACACATACACACCATTTTATAATGCATGTCTTTAACAGTGTGAGGTAGCTTGTTATCCCAATCAGTCATAGAGAACTTAGCCTGACATTCAAATTCCAGTACAAACATTATGTCCCACAGGAGTGGCCTGAATATTTGACACACTCTATGTTCATGGAAAACTGGATCACTCTCTGATAAAACAGAGCTATTGCTTTATTCATTTTGTTATACTTCTGAATTCAAAGAAGTTCAAATAACGATAAAGACCTATGTATGGTTCTTAAAATTTTTATAAATTTATTTATAAATTTATTTTATATAAATTGTGAATGTAAAAAAATGCTGACCTAGTTATATTTCAGCTTGTCCACTATAAAAATATTTATTCCTGAAAATGAAATAACATCACTACAAGAAATCTTGTTGCACAAGCTACTATAAAAACAAGTCATTTTTTTAAAAAATAATCACAACAGTTTTAAAAAGAACGCCAAATAACTCAATTTTGCTAACCCATTATTTTTACTTATCAAACAAAATGAAAATGATGTCATAAGAATATAAAGGAGATAGGTATACACTGAAACATTCGGGACTCTTGGTTGTACAGTATTCACAACATTCCAATTCTAATCCAATATTTCAATGCATTTTTACAAGTCTTCCCATTGTATTTAATGGGACTTAATTTTCATTAAAGGTGCAAAATTGCAATCTGCATTTCTGTATGCTAATGAATGAAAGAATCCCTGACATTCTGAAATGGATTTGCTGTTGAATAAAGCACATCCAAAATTAGAAAAAAAATAAAGAACAAACCAACAAACAGGGCTTCAATACCTTACAGTGTCTAAGTTCCATATCTTCATCCCCATAATCTGTAATTTCCCCTGTTTCTTCTAGGTGATTGAGAGAGAGCTTGGGGATTTTAATTTTCTTCTGCATCACACTGTTTTCAAGGTCTGTTTTATCTTCTGCAAATTTACATAAAAATATTTTTTCACATTTTCAAACTGATATTCAAATACTGTATGACTGAAGCCAGACCATTTAAAAAGTTCCCATGCTTGACTACCTTCCATATGCAGTGATAATCAACTGCTCCAGAAACTTTTTTTAAAAAAATAGATGCACTGTAGCCCTTACACAGAAATTTGAAGAATATTGTGCCTTGTAAAAAAATTAGGGCTTCCAAAGATTGTTAAGAACAAAGCTGAAATCCAAACTAAACCGTGATGTTTTCCAGATGATATTGGACCAGTTATGCATTTTCCCTCAGTGCAACCTAATTCAGAGTTTTAAGATCTAAAAATGGAGAAGAACTTTCCTCATTCTAAAAATACTGTACACATTTTGATGGCTCCCCATTTTTCTTCTCATTGCCTGCTCTTTCAAACATTATAGCAGGGATTTTATTTTTTTCTGCAAATGTGGGGAAAACACATTTTTCAGAAATTCCAACCCTTATAAGCAGGGAAGAGATGCCTCCATCCTTACATATTCTCTGTTGCTTAATGCAGCAGCAGTACCAGCAAGACTGCAGAAAATGTAGAGAGAAAGGATGCATAGTTTTTTTTTTTTTTTTCTGTCAGAAATTATGTCAACAAGGGAAAACTAGCATCTAGCTCAGATTCAGACTAGGTATTTTCTAGGCTTTTTAGAAGCCCAATTTAAAATTAAACTCCTTTCATTATACATAAATATTTCAGTGATCAGAATTCCTTCAGTGTCATGCAATACATTGTTTTGAGGGTAATATACCTAAATTAAGCATTTATATTTTTGTTAGTTATGAGGGTCTCATTGAATTTTAAGAAGCTGTCCCAAGTAACCAATTAATTAAAAGAACTTTCAGAAGACCACAAGAAATAAATAGCAATCACAGAGCTAAAATTAAATGCAGTTACTGTCTGCCAAAAAGACGACTTAAAATTAAATCTCAATAGTAAGGTTTAGGAAGGCTTTTATAAAAGTAAAATTATTAAAACTAATCACAGATGAACTGAGTGGTACAATAGGAGCAATAAGGCAGTATATTGTTCCAGGCGTTAAAAATAACTTTCTGACTAAACATAAATTCATTGGGATGGTAATATAAATATTACTTGCTTTCCTATTTCAGCACAAGATTTTTTCTCCTTCATGTAATATGTTGGCTAAGGAAAAAGGCCAAGGAAAATGCATCTGCTTTCTGAGACAAAATGTATCCTTTTGACTTACTAAAGCAAAGGTCCCAAACCTTGGGGACTAAGTTAAGTGGAGAAAGGTGTTTCCATGGACTGGAAAGTGCGTGGTTTTGTGTGCTGCCTGCATCCCAGGGATGGGGCTTTGCTTGTTTGTACGGACCAGTTTCTGGCATGCCACGGCCCGGTACCGGTCCACGGACCAGGGGTTGAGGACCCCTGTACTAAAGTAGATTTTGTTCTTGCAGTTCAAAAGATCTCAGTTTATCTATATTCTAGAGGGCAAAAAACTGTATTTCTCATGGAATCAGCTGATCTTTAGGAATTTTTTAATTATGGACAATTCTAAAGTATTACTGCTACTTCAAGGATATGCCTTATAAACTCAATGCAATTTATAATGATAAATTGAGAATTAATTGCTTTGCTTTAGAATACTTCAAAAAAAATATTAAACACCACTAGAACAAATACACTGATACATGTTCCACGGGTGCCACACCGAAATTTACTACTAATAATGTACAAAAGCCTCAAGAGGAACTATGAAATAGCCCAGATATGACTGGAAATTTTCATTCAACAAAATAAGGAGGAATGGAGTGACTGAATCCTTGTACATTACTGTGCTTTACCACAACTTCCAGTTCAATTTATATTTTATCATTACAACTGATTTCAAAATTTGACCCAAATAAAATATGGAAATTATCTCAGAGTTGCCATTCTTTGCCACATGTAATTTTCAATAATCACAAAATAAAGGAAAATATTTAACATGGCATTTCTTATTTCTTGTAAGGAAATATGAACTACTTCTCAAAAAGCAGAAATTGAAAAAAGGGTTGTGCAAGAAATGTGAGGGTGCAGAATGAGATTGACAAAACATGGCCATTTTCATCCTACATTGGCAAGATGTTCAATGGAGGTGGCTCAAAGAACCTGATATGTGAATCTCTCTTTGGACTGGTTTATTGACAATTACATTCATCAAATGTATTCTGATTTTCTTAAATGCATTCTGCATTAAGCTTCTTCTTTTTTCACTACTCACACATCAATTATATATGAATTTCTCCTAGATTCAGAAATTATCAGAACTTTGGAAAAGTCTATCATGAAAATTTATCATTATACCTGTACTGATTAGTTGCGTTCTTTCAAGAACTTTCTGCAAGATAGCTAAGACAATTTACTGCATGGTTTGTTCTTGAAAGTTTCATTAAGGGAATCTATATTTATTGTTTTACCAATCCTGATTTCTAGATAAAATTTAATAGGATGAGGTTTGTAAAAATAGCAGATATAAAAATACTAGTGTTGGCATGCTCTAAAGCTCATGATTTAGAGTTTTTTTTATACAATTTGCTTCATCTACACTGTATTTACAGTAATGAAACTCAGTAGTGCATTTTAGATGGTTCTTGTTCATTTTAGTTTCAATATTTTTTTGTTCTGCCCTGAAAATGTAATGTTACGTGAGAGGTACATTTCTATCTTTGATCGAAAGGAGGGAAAGGATTCAATTATTTAACATAACTTTTCTAATAGAGCCTGTGATCTTCTTTAAATTGATTTATCTGTTACTCTATACAGTTTGTGCTAAATAGGGCTTACGTTCCATTAACACTCATGAAGTTGAGCATGATTAGTAAATATTAGTACATATACTATGTTCTATATTGCAAGTTTTAACAGCCCCTCTCCAAAGATACATTTGTTGCACAAAAAAATTCTTTTGAAAAAGGTATTTATTTCAGATGTGATTCATGAAAAGAGGGATACCTGTATCACTTCAAATGGAACTGCTTCAGTTGACATTTGCTACAGATATAATGGCAATCAGATGTAATTAAAATGACTATTCCAACTAAACTTGTAAGAATATTAATTACATATTTTGTTGACTTTACTTTGACCTTGTAAGAAGAAGATTCTGCTTAATACCACTTCAAATGCTATATTAGAACAACAAAAAGACTTTTTACTTTCTGCCTTGATGCTGCTTTTTTTAAATTAGAAAACAAGCAAATTTTTTAGACTGAAATTAATTCCTTGAAGAAAGAATGAAGAACTTTTGACTTTCTACAAATGGATTGTAATTCCCAGTACTTCTCATTATTGAACATCCTAGCCTGAGCTGTTAGGAGGTATATAGTGGTTCACCAGCATCTAGAGATTCTTATCTTTACTTCAAAAGGAAGAATTTACCCTGGAATTTTTAATTTAATTTTAATTTAATTTTTAATTTATGTTTCTGCATGTAATTATGGGGTTCTTTTTTGTGCTGTTTGTTTCTGTTCTGAATGGCACTATTTCATTTTATTGAATAATTCAATGAATTGATTCATTGTCCGTAATCAAATAGATTGAATCCAATTTGATAAAGGGAAGTAAAACTACATTTTATACAAGTTTAGATTCCTTTTTTGGATATATATATACATATGGAGGTGGCATCACAAAAAAGGTGGCATTATACACATTGTTTAAATGCATTTCTGACTATTTTTTCCTCCTCCCACAGCTTTGTTCATACCTCCAAAACTACTTCAGAGGATTTCTCAACCTATTAAAGCATATTTGCAGAATATACAAACAGTAATGGTAGGTAGGAGGGGGAAAAATATTCCACCAACAGCTTCTGTTTCCCTGGGAAACATATTCATGAGCTAGCAGCCTACCTGATTCTGTGAAAACAAAGTCAGAAAACTGGGTTTGAGAAATACAACAAAAGACTGAATGGTAAATTAACTTAATACTTTAAATTAGTATTTCTAAAGCTATGCAAATTAGACTTTTATTAATATATTCCAACAGCTTTACAATGATGAAAAAACATACTTTTAAATAAAGTGTGTTTCAATTATATTTATTATTAACTGACTGATCTTCTTCAAACTCTACTTTAAATTGTACCAAAGCATGTATGGGAACATGTTTCAGGGGGAAATAAAGGATGAAGTAATGAAAAAAATTACAACCTACTGAGCTCTAAAGTATTTGAAGCCCACTATTTATTTCAGTGTTGAAAAAGGCTCAATTTTTAAAAGTTTTCTACTTATTTATTAGATTTACATCTTACCTATTTTCCAAAGAGGTTTATATAGGAACACCCTTATTTAATCCTCACAATAACAATCACTTCACAGAGTGGTCTCAGAAAGATGACCCAAACCCATCAGTTTCCAAAACTGAGAGAAGACATAAAGTTAATCTTAAAAGAATGGCAACTGGATGGCTTTTTTTACTTCAAACAACATACATAACAACACAGGGAGATTTATTTGATGATTTAAAAGCACGGACATGGAAGACGAGTTGGCAAAGAAAGTTAGAATAAGACTGAAGAAAATTGGGGTTTTAACTTATCAGTGAGAATTAACATAGAACATACTCAAATAGATAATAATAATAAAGTTGGAAGGCACCTTGGAGGTCGTCTAGTCCAACCCCTGCTCAGGCAGGAAACCCTATACCATTTCTGGATGTGTATTTTAAATACTAGATTTTGTTATGAGCTGACATAAAGAAAATTTTGGTGATTTAAAACTTGGAAGTATAAATATTAACAGTTAAATTTGAATATTTATTTGCTTATAAAGGTTAAATGTAAAAGTAATTAAGATATATATAAGCTAAAATTATATTGATGAATGTAATAAATATGTTTTTACTTAGCTGTTATAATAAAAACTATTATATTGAATGTAATAAATATGTTTTTACTTAGCTGTTATAATAAAAACTATTATCTTAAATATGATAAGAGAAAAAGAGAGGAAGTATCAAATTTATTTATTTATTTATTTATTTATGAGACTTATATACCGCTTTAAGTGCAAGCACTCTCTAAGCGGTGTACACCAGTAAGCAATGTATATATATATTTACATTGCCCCCAACAATCTGGGTCCTCATTTTACCTACCCCGGAAGGATGGAAGGCTGAGTCAACCTTGAGCCGGTGAGATTTGAACCGCTGACCTGCTGAACACAGTCAGCTAAAGTGGCCTGCAGTACTGCACTCTAACTGCTGCGCCACCTCGGCTTGGTTGAAATAAGAGAAATTTTGGTTACCAAATTTAAGATATTTGGAAATTAACAGAATATAAGAATGCTATACTGTATTATTAATTAGTTGATGTAAGATGGTGAGAAATAAAATATATTCAAATAGGTAAGACGTGTATCCTGAATATTATATTGATGAATTGTGATAAAGGGAACTGGAGTTATTAAAAACATGGAAATTATAAATATTAAATGTTAAATTTAAATATTAATGGGAAACTAAAAATTGGGAAAAACTAATTAGGACATTGATTGTCTATAAAGATTGAATGTTAAAATAACTAGGATATGTATAAACTAAAAATTATTGATAAATGTAAGAAAATTATTTTTATTTAATCAATATAATAAGAATTGTATTAGTTTAAATATTAGATAGTAAATAGTAAGGGGAAAAGAGAGGAAATATTTAATGTAATAGTTTGAGATCTGTACTAAAGATACTTGTATGTTATTCAATTATTAACTCAGCCGCCACATTGCTTTTTAAATATTTAAATGAAAAACTAGAAAATTAATAAAAATTTCTTAAGAAAAAAAATCTCTCCAGTTTTAATTCAACAGTTTAACCATTACACGTTTCATTCTTCACAATGAAGAATGTTAGTATTTTAACATTTTAGTAACATAAGAATTATGATCTATCAATAGCAATCACAATTTTTGTGTGACTACTAAAGTTACTCAAATTTGTAAAAATCTACTCATAAATATACTGTATGAAATAATCACTACAATGTGAAAGTCATTTAGAGAGAAGCTTATCTTTGTGAGAAAAAATATTTGGAATACAGCAGCAGCTGCATCTTTTAAAAGCTTGGTGAAGCCACTTGAAAATCCCTTTTTAAAGTTTTAGTATAAACAAAGAAAAGTGGGAAATGGACTTGAATTAACAATATGGGTCTTAAGAAATATAGTGTTTTGATGTTCTAAGCAACAGGTTTGGAGAGGTGCTTTATCTTAGCATGGTTTTTATGGCCCTAATCAACTGCTGTATAAAGTAATATACAAATTGCTGGATGTTTAATCACAATAATTATCATGGATCCCTGCATTTTAGCTTCAATGAATATGGCTAACTTTGAATTTACTCAGTATAACTTTCAAAAATTGATACTGCATATATTCTTGATTAATATCAATCCATTTTATTAATCCAAGAACTAGAACACCTGGTTAAGTGCAAAACATAAAATATATTAAAAATAAGTTACACTTTTTATTTTTATTACATTTCTAATTATATTTTAAAGTCATGAAACTAACTTTTAGAAAATCTTTCAAAATATTTGAGTTATACTCAAATCATACTAAAACTCTGGACAACTCACAAATTAAAAGGCTTTAATACAATAAAATATCCTGCATATGTGCAGTTTATAACCAGATGCTTGAAGCTATTTAACACATTTCTTAGCAACAAAGTTGACAGCAAGTTGAAGCTAACTAATTCTACAACATATGGAACAACATATCACCAACTTTTCCCTCATTCCCACATTTTTAGAAGTATACTAAATAAAAGATTAAATACTATCCTCATTTACCTATCACAAAATTATGATCATATATATTCCCTCAATTCATCTTCAAATCATTATTCCTTGTCATTGGTTGGCTAGGTGTCCATACAAACAAAGTCTTAGTTGCACATAATTTAAGCCTCACTGTTTTAATGGTTTTCAGACTCAAGCCAAAAGTTTAGCTATTTGCAAAGGCAAATAAAGCAACCCCTTTTTATCCAATATCAGAAATTTGCAAGAATTCACCTGGCATAAGAGCCCTCCAGAAAGTGTTACACAGAGTAATGCCACATACATTCTCCACTCAATACACTTCTAATTTCAAAAGCAAGAGAGCATCAAGAGTAGCACTGGTAATAAATAATGTAGGAACAGGTTTATTCTGGACAATTTCTGATATAACCTATATGAGCATAAAATGATCCATGTCTTGATAATGCGTATTTGACCCAATTACAGGTAATCCTCAACTGGCAACCACAACTGAGCCCCAAATTTATGTTATTAAGCCAGACATTTGTTAAGTGACTTTTGCCCCATTTTACAACCTTTCTTGCCACAGTTGTTAAGTGAATCAGGGCAGTTAAGTTAGTAACAGGATTGATAAGTGAATCTCGCTTCCCCATTGATTTTATCAGAAGGTCACAAAATGTGATCACATGATCCCAGGACACTGCAACTGTGATAAATATGAACCAGTTGCCAAGTATCCAAATTTTGATCACATGACCATGGTCATAAGTATGAAAAATGATCACAAGTCACTTTTTTCAATGTTGTATCTTCAAACAGTCACTAAACAAATGGATGTAAGTCGAGGACTACCTGTATTTCTGGGAACCATTAGGCTCAAGACAAGTTAGGAACTGGTATATCTTGACAGATATACCCACTCTGCAGAAGTGGGGTGGCACCATAATCCCACCAATAAAAGTTGCTTTGCAATATGCTTAGAGACAGTTCATAATTTGTGGGGATAGAGTAATACACGGGAATATGAACTAGGGTTTAGTATTGACACAAGGTTTGAATTCAAACCCAAATCCTCTGTAGAAACAGGGGAACATAGATTTAGATCTACCTAATTTAGCATTGTTGGCACTGAACTGGAGGCATCTCTTTAAGCTTCCAAGCAGGAATTTTTCCAGCCCTTCCTAAAGTTCTTAATGATTGAATCTCAGACATTCTATATGCAAAACATAGTCACTACTCTACTGGGCAATGACTTATTTAATATATGTATCTGGAAGGAGGAGTTGTGATTATATGTATAAATGCATATTCTATTTCTGAGAAACTTATATTGTATGTAGTTTGAGACTTGCCTATCAACTATATATGTCTATTTGTGGGGACGGACATTCCTTATGAATATACAATAGGGCTACATTATTAATTTATAATATATTCTAGAATTTCATGAGAAGAAATATCTGTTTTCTGCATTTAGATTTCCAGTATTTTACTGTGTGCAGCATTCACGTTAAAAAATGGTTACTATGTGTTAACTACAGAGCAACCATCAATATGTTTAAGAATATGGAGAAGTAATTTTGCTTCTTTTAATAGTTAAAATTAAATCATTGAGTCTAACCTAAAAGTCCATTTGGGACAAGCAAACAAAGGGAAGGGGTGTTATTTTATATATTTAGTTTAGAATTAATTTCCAAAATGATGAACAGTGGTGGTGAATAATTTAGACTTAGATTATTTTCCAAAAGAATTATATTCATAGATACACCATAAGGTATGATAGCAATGTAAAATCATAATGTTAAAATGGAGTAGTCTTTAAATAACACTACAAAGTCATACTGCAGAGATTGTTGCTTCATAACCTGCTTAATGGTTTCGTGGAAACATTTCGTTCCTCACAGTGGAACTACATCTTTGGACTGCTCCAAGCAGGGCTTTTCTTGTGCTCAGTGTCCCTCTTTTTTGTGACAGCCATGTCCCACCCCAACTTATTCTGCCAAAAGACCATCTTATTCTTTCTATAAATGCTCACCCATAACCCAAGTTAACCCAAGTTCTTCCTAGGTATTCCACAAAGTTAAATGTTCTCTATTTCTTACCCAGATAATTCTTTTATAAATCCCCCACGTTTACAGTCTTTGAAGTAAGCCCACGCCAGCGTTCAGCGCCCCTCCCGGACAGCCTAGTGGTCACGTCCTACTTTGTTATAGCCTTTTCTACTTGCACCACCCATCTCCCCTTCCCTAGTCCAACCTTCTCAGAGCTGAAAACGATGGAAATGTCAAACAGGAAAGGATGGGAGCACCAAGACAACCCCACCCCTCCTTCATCTAGGCCTCTGCAACACCAGGCCATCCCCACCCCGCCTGCTGGTCTCTCCTGGGGATACCCGAAACCCCTCCCTCAGAGAAGCGGAGCCAGCAGCAGCCACTCGGATCAGGCCCCGCCGTGGCTTAACGAGCGGGGCTCCAGCCGCAGGCCCCTTCCTAATTTTCGCAGAGGGGTAAAAAAGCTTCTCTTTCCCTCACCCCGCCCGGGTCCTCCAAAGAGCTGGGAGGTTTTAACTGGTCTGGCCTCCAGGTCGCCTCCCTCCCTCCCTTCACCCGCTGCCAAATCCCTCGGTGCCTCACCTGCCAGCGCCAGGATCTGGGCCTTGTGCAGTGGCGGCCGCTCTCTCCACTCGCCGGGGCTCTCGTCGCCGTCCTCGGGGTCGTGGGCCGGGCTGCGGTAGACGGTGTAAACCTTCTGGTTGTCGAAGTCGAGCCGGGATTTGGGGCTGAAGTCCTGCACGCACGACACGGGCAGCGCATAACACACGTTATCCTCCAGGAACCGCACGAAGGCATACATCATGGAGCGGGGCCGCGCGACCCGGGGGAAGGGGGCTCACGGGCGAGCAGGCTGGGGGGGGGGGCGCCCGTCTCTGCTCCCGCAACCCCGGCTCTTCTGTTATTGTTCCTGGAAGCCTGGCTCGGCGCTCGGCTGAGCTAGTCTAGGCTGCAGAGCCTTCGCCTCCCAAGGCAGCCGGGATTCGGGATTCCCGCAAGCAGTCGAGCGCCGAGCGAAGCGAGCTTCAGTCTGGCGTGCAGCTCCCAGAATCGCCCGACGCGCGCGGGAGATCCCGTTTAGTGCTGCCATAAGCGGCAGCGGCGGCCCTCTCTCTCTCTCTCGGGCAGGAGGGGGGAGAATTTACGGCGATGAGCAACTTTCGGGAACGTAAGCTTTGGAGCTCATTGTTTCCGCTGCCGCCACCTCCGCACTAGGCCCGATCTCAGCAAAAGAGGGCGAGAGGAAGGCGGTTTGCTAGCCGGTGCAGCGGCTACTCTTCTATGCTTCAAGTTACTTAAACGGACCTTTCTCCCTCTCCTCTTTACCCACCTAGCGTGAATAAAGGTCGCTGAATCCAGTCCTCTCTGCCACGCCATCTTGCTAAGACAGGACTGGATATGACTCGGGGAAGGGGGTCTTGCAAAGTTTTCCAGCGAAGGGGAGCAGACAACTGTTTCTGTGAAGTATATAGCCTCTTTGGGGCAATGCAGTGCATTGCAGGTTGGATGGCAAGAGTGCAGATGGCTTCTTGTGAGCTCTGGGGCAAATAGAAAACAAGCCACCAGATTGATTTGCCTCTGGAAAGGGCAGCAAGGAAGTCTGGGCCCATCGGGAAAGTCCCAAAACCAGGCTTCTCTTATCCTCTACCACAGCAGAGAACATTGTGTCCAAGAGGCCCATCCAATTAAAGAAAATTGGGCTCTTATAGATTTTGGTTGCCTGGTGAAATCAAGCGGGTAAACAAAGTAGATGCTTTTGCAAATAGCAGCCATCTCCTTCCACTCAGACAATTGGGATCAAAGAGGGGAGGCAACAGCTGTTTTTTCTGTCGCCATAGCAGCCTTCTGCTATCTTCCCACATTCTTTGCCATATAGGAAAGCTTGTTGAGTTCAGGAAAAAAAATGAGACAAGACAATGGGCATGATTGTTGATCTGGCAAAGACACTTCTCCATCTTTTTCTCCCTCTGGGTGATCCCAATCTATAGCATATACTTTATCTTCTTAGGCCCACAAATCATTTCTCAGAGAAATCACATTTTGCTCAATCAAGAATATTGGCAATTCATGACAATTTCACTGAAAAAAACAATAGTGCTTCATTTGCACTGCATACTTATTCATGCTTAACTGAACCATCCCTTATTCAATACAATTATATTGGTTTACATGACACACAAGCTGAGTTTGCAAAACATACTAATGTATGTTTAGTATGCTGACTAGATTGGTTTATTTACCACATAAGCACAACTAAAAACTGCTTTCAGGACAGCCTTACTAGTCCAAACTCTGCTACACTTGACAAAACAAGATAACACATCCACACCATGCCACACATTTTAATCAGTATCCTGGAGCCGAATTCACCACTTTCAAAGACCCAGTATATTCTGTGAACCCATACACTCAGTTTTCATCAGGAGAAGATTAATTCAAACCCCAAAATCTATGAGTTAATCATTAGTAAGGCTGTATGAATCCAGGAACCCCAATCCAACTGTTGAGCATATGCAGGAAGGAAATAAATATCATTAAAAGTATGGGACCAGGTAATTGGATCCCTGCTTCTTTTTAACATTTTTAACATGCTTTGGTTGCATCAAAAAGATGGGAGGTTTTAATCAGCCTGGTCATAACTACCATTTTTTTGCTATTGACTTACCTTGAGGATGCCTCTACTAATGGCAAAAGTCCTGGTTAGTGGCTGTTTTTGTAGGTCCTCCAGGATTTCATGCTCATCAGATATTGAAAAGGACAATTAACCCTCACCTAAGTAGTTCATACGATATGGGGAATTACCTTAATCCCAAAGAAGAATAAGTCTGGAACTAAATGTAATTTCCCACTTTAAATTGACTAGACTGTTTGATTGAATTTTCTTGTTGACCTGATGCTTACTATCCTACCTCCAAGATCCAGTTAAGCATTCTACATGGGGAAAATCAGATACAATTGTGTAGTTTCAAGTATATAGGCTCATCAGTAATCCTTACTCCTGCAATTAGGTTCACATTACAGTAATGTGGTTTGATTTTTATTTAATATATAAGCCCAGCCAATTGTAGTTTATGAAATAGTGAAATAGAATAACATGAAATTAATACTTATTGTGTATGTGTATGTGTGTGTATGTATGTATGTATGTATGTATATATATATATATATATATACACACACACACACACACACACACACACATACACACACATACAACTTTCGTGGTGATTACAAAGACTATAATAAATAGTATAATTTTCAGCAAAAAAGTTCTGTGGTGGCCAAAAAACAAGCTTTACATCGAATCAAACTATTAGTCCATCTAGCTTGGTACTCACTGTATTAACAGTGGGAATCTTTGCCAGCTTTCCCTGGAAAAACAAAGTCTTAAACATAAGAGCATCTGCACGTAAAGCAAAGGCCCTTTCACTGAGTATAGTTTTCCTTTCATCTTGGAAGCAATCAATAGGGGTACTAATGCAGCATATTAATATACTTTGCCAGGGATTGGAGCTCACAGTTTTTCTAATAAGATTCTCCATGAAATATACTAAAGCATTTTTTTTTAATGAGAAGTCAGCCTGACCCAAAGACCAATGGACCTCCAGCAATGCTAGCAATACTGACTTCACTGCCCAAGGAGGATAGTGATGTAGCACTAAAGCCAGAATGGCACACTTGGCAGGGGAAATATGGAAATATGAATAATTCCATACATGAATCATTCTATACGTGAAACAGCTTGGGATGATCCATGACCCCACAGAAGATTGTGCATTTTGTTCAGTCCAGACCTGAAACTTGTCGTAAATCTAAGATATCTGTTTTCCAAGTAAGACGTGTTTGGAGACAGAGGGGCTGGTTTTGCCTAGACTGCTACCTTGCACATTTCTAGACTGTAAAGTGTGTGTTCCGAACTGAAAACACGTTTTTCATTTTATTCCATGAATAGAGAAGCTGCCTCCTGACTGGCTAAGGGAGATGAGGCTAGCTCTCTCCCCTATTGCCTTAAGCAAGCAAGTAAAGGCATTCTTATTCAAGCACTGAAAAACAGATTGTCAGTAAATTTTAACTGATGTGATGGGGCTGTTTTTTTATTGATGATAAATTGTAAACTCTGTACCTTTGTTTTTAATTGTGCTAACTACCTGAGGGTCCATGACAATGCACCGCACCCAACTCGCCATGACCAACTCACCACAGCCATGGCCAACTTGCCGTAGCCAATTCGCCAGGGGACAAAGCAATGGTGGAATAGAATCATTAAAGAAAGGATGCAAAAGGAAGGACCAAATGAAATATGAATGGCAAAAATTAAAATAATTTTTATTTATTTTAAATAATTGAATTGTTAAAAATTGTCCTGTGACAAGTTGTTCCGCGGTAAGTTGGCCGTGACGAGTTGTCCCATTCCGAGTACTTGATGCACCAGGTCAGAGAGAAAGCCAAATATAGATAAATAAATAAAAGCCCACCTTCCTACATTTATATAACATATTTTAACTCTGCTTGCAGCTTAGCCTAGGTTCTATTCTCTAGGCCAGTGGTTCTCAACCTGTGAGTCGGGACCCCATTTGGGGTTGAACGACCATTTCACGGGGGTCGCCAAACAACGCAGTCCGCCATTTTTTCCCCCTTTTCTTTAGCTGTGCTACTCCCTTTTATTCTATTGGCTTTTGAAAGCCAATAGAATAGACTCTCTTGAATAGAGTCTAATTCTATTGGCTTTCAAAAGCCAATAGGAATTGTCCAGGCTGTCTCTGCCCTGCTGAGCCCGCCAAAAGTCCCATTCTGCAAATGGTGCTGCACCAGTTGAGTAGTCCTTGACTTATGACCGGTTGAGTAGTCCTCGACTTACGACCAGTTGGGGGGTCGCGGAATTAAAAAGGTTGAGAACCACTGCTCTAGGCAATAGAGTTGAATATCACTGAAGCAAAGTTCTTTACTATTACAAGCCTTGATAACATAATGTCTGAGCAATAGCGCTTCATCATCAAGACCTGCATTACATTTGAAATTCACCAAGAAATTCACCAACAAAAGAAAAAGTTGGAGCCTTTCAAATGGATCTCTCTCACGTGTTCACAAACTTCACCTCAACTACCATCAACTTGAATTCCCCCACCACCACTTGTTTCCCCTTAAACCTACATATGAGACTGGAAAAAACACTAACACTATGCATAGTTCTGGGCTTAACAATAGCTTCCTTTATTAGGCTCATCCTAGCAAAAATAGTTTCCCAACTATTGCAACATTGCACTATAATAACAGTGACTTTACCCTGCATAAAGCTTTTAATGTTAGAATGATTTTTAAAGTAAGAATTGAGTAAAAAGCATCATAAGCCCTTGCCTTTGTTCCCTTTTTGCAAGGAGGAGATGTGCTCCTGCCACTGCTGTAACAAAATTCTGAATTCTGGAATTTATTTATTTATTTATTTAGAGCAATGAATATTACCAGCAGGGAAGTTTTTTAAAAATGATTTTCCAGCAATGTCCTGGAGCATACAGTATATGTCACACATGAAATATTGGCATGAAATCTATATCAGTAATTCTTATTATTCCTATGTTATCTGTGTTTCAATGGTAACAGAACCTAACAAATATTATATAATTTGAATTCTCCTTCGATTATGTTGAAATAAGATAGGGAAATGCACCTATTGATGACTTAAGCTTGGGCTCATTCTCATTCTTGGAGTTAAGAGACCAAGCTAAACACTGCATCCTGCTGAGAAAGCACAAAAATATTGTCAGAGCCTTTTCATGCTGTGATTAGGTACTAGTGGGGAAAGAACTGAAAAAACTTTAAAAAAAAAATCCAAAACCACTTTCTTACAAAGCATATTTAACTTCCTATCACATAGATCTTCTTTTTAGATGGGCTAACAAAAACTAGGAATTGGCACTGTGATTCCCATTGCCATCCTTCTTGAATTTATTTCCCAAACTTTCAGTACAGACTAAATGCCTGATTAGTCAGATGGGAAGTAGAGATTTTCTTAATCAATTTGCATCTCATAACTTTTGTGATTACAAGTCCAAATGTATCGCATGGTTTTACAGGATACTTAAATGATTTCAGTATCTAAAGGACAGCTGGTTCGCACCACTTCGGCAGAACCGGCAGCTAATTTTTTGTTGCCCAGGCCCAGAATGGACGTCCAGAAGTGGCATCCACACTGAGAACCGGTTGTTCACATATTTGAATCCCATCACTGCTAAAGTACCTATTTGTATCAGGGACATATATATCCTATAGAACTTTAAAGCTTTTCCATTAGTCATAAGTGATGGTGTGAAAGATTCAAGAGACTTTCTGCATTCCTAAATTAAAGTTAGAGTTAGAGTTTGGCTGTCATAAAGAAATTTCGGTCTGCAAATTCAAATTGACTCCCTAGGCATCCAACTCTCTCGAACAGTGTTACCCCTACCATCCACAATGAGCCCAACGCTGGCTCCGTAGGCTCAGGAAGCTGGAGAACTGGTTCTCTCAAACAGATCTCTGGGACAGATCCCTGCAGTTTGGAAAGAGCGCTAAGCCTACCGTCAACACAACCCATTAAATAAGCTGATTAGTGGTTTGTGGACCTATAGTGGTAAATTAGGAAAGCTAACTATTCCCAAAACTTGAGTTTTGGGGGAAATTGGTTCTTC